CTAACTGTTCCATTAAAAACAAGGGTTTAACTGTCCTAACAAACTGTCATATAAATCTAAGCTCCCCCACCACGAGTGGAAAACGCCTCTGCAGTGGAGTCATCAGCAACCATGTCATCCACGAGCTCAATGCCTGTCTCATTAATATCTGCCTCATCCTCCCCTTTTTCGGAAATACCGGGCTCTATCCCTCGAATGACCCTCTCACTGATGCCACCCACCTCGTGAAGGTATTTGCGACAGGTACGAACTAATAGACTTGAGAAGTGACGGCGACGGATATATGTTTTAATATCAATAGACTATCCAGTATCATTTAATAGACTATCCCATAGATCTAATTCGACCATGGATCTCGTTAATCGACTATGGGCCGAAAATATGGGCCGAAGAATCATCAAAACCCTAGATCTGAGAAGTGACGGTGGAGGATTTTTGTTTTAATATTAATAGACTATCCCATATCATTTAATATACTATCCCATAGATCTAATTCGACTATGAATCTCGTCATCGACTATGGGCCGAAAAATCATCAAAACCCTATATCTGAAAAGTGACGGCGGCGGCCGCCGGTGGCCAACGACGATAACAACGACATTGGGCATTTAAGTTAGTTGGCTTCACTCCTAAATCAAGTGTCGCACCGTTGGAGGCGGAGGTGGTGCCGGTCGAGGTCTAGGTGGAGGTGACGATCTTGGAGGCGGAGGTGGTGGCGGTGGAGGTGCTGGTGGCGGCGCAAGTGCAGATGGTGACCTCGATGCTGGAGTTTTAGGTGGAGATGGAGATGCTTTTTGGGATTTGATTGAGGGTACTGATGGAATTTAGAAAAATATGGGTTTTTATCAAAATGACAAATTTCAGTTTGGATCTATCCCTATTTTTTGTAAGACTAAGGGGGTTATATCTAATGGACCCTATTTATTAACTATAATTGAGGATAATTAACTATAATTGTGTTCCATTTACTATAATTATGAACTATAATTTCATTACTATAATTGTATTCCATTTACTATAATTTAGGAACTATTAAATCTCACCATCTTATATATATACACGGTTCATTTCAGTGTTAGTCTAAACTGCATGATAATATTATTCTCCCGAAACTTCATGATGCGGTCATCGTTCTCTTTGTGTGAATCATGAGTATAATAGTATTTGAGAATAATCGTTTAATTTTTTTACTTTTCTTTCACAATCTTCGAGTATAGGAATTGATGTACTCTTTCATATATATTATATTCTGTAACTTATTTCATATTAAGTAACATATATAGTTCAAGTTTTGTAATAGTATATTCATCTTTTATTATACGGCTTGACTAACTAACAAAATTTTGATTACATGTATTAAATATTTATAGATGTTAAGACAAGTAGATCTCATAAGAAACTTGGGGGGCGAAAAAATGTCATGGAATCTCAAAATCCGTGTTTTGCACATTTGGAAACAACCAAATTATTTTATGAAAGATCTTCAAGACATAGAGATGATCATCATTGATGAACATGTGATAATTTTATTTTTGCACGTCAAATTTGATTTGTTAGCAAACCATATTATCACATTCGTTTCTTCATCATGCAGGGCGACACAATGCAAGCTTCCATTAAGTATACATTGTTATACATATTTGAGTCTAAGATCAGAGAGAACAGATGTTATGCAATGACAAACCTCCGTTTTTTTTAGTGTCAAGACCTACAAGCATTCATTGAATGATTATAGAGTCACTTTTTAATATACATCCACGGTGAGAGAAGTTGACGTTCCGTCCATTCCAGTGTATTCATTTAAGTTCACATCTTATGCAGATATCCAACAAGCGTCGAACAACACTGTGTATACAATAGGTATTAGTTGTTTATATGATTTTTTTTCTTACTATTTAGCATTTAATTATAAAGTGTTTTCTTACAATGTGTTAACATTGATTGCAAATGTTATTGATTCGCTTTGTCGATAGGTTCATGGCTCACCTAGCGGATGGAACCAAACAGAACATTGCATTTGAACTTGAAGATATTGAGTAATTTAAAACTCACTGAAATATATTTTTTAGATTTTAATTCCTATATATTTAGATGTTTTGTTTTCATATCCATCATCGTTTTCTTTGATATGCAAGTGGTTCGAAGGTCAACTGTTTGATGTGAGGAAAGTTTGCTGAATACATACTTCAATGAATCGGAATATTGGTGTAGGGCCGTATATTGTTGTAATACAATTTGCAATGACTGAGATTAAGAATGGTATTATTATTTTTCAATATTTCTCTTATGTATTTTATTTTAAAGAATGTGAAGGTCATTTATTACATTTCATGACTATTCTTATATTTTCTTAGGTGAAGTCCAGGTATCCAACCATTGGCATTCATCGCGTGTGCTTATAAACGAGGATATTCCTGCAATTAATGAATTCAAATCAAGGTTATAATTTTATCGTTAAATAAATTAATTACTTTGTTTTTACATTTATTTCGTTCATTATGATTTATTAGCATGTATTTTTTATTTTAGTTTCATTCGGAGTAAACCAAACAGTGATCAAGTGATAAGTCATATGTCGTCGCAGTCTTCTTACTCGATGGAAGATGATTTCATACGTAAGACAGTAGGAAAGAATTTGGACGAATTGAGTGACACAAATGAGGTAATAACAATGTATTTGTTACATTATTTATTCGCACATTTTCAATAAAATACAAATAGGAACCATTTATCAAATCTGATTATAACTATATTTAACTATTGTTTATTTTCACATTATAGGATTTCCAACTCTCTTCATCACCATCACATGCACTCCTCAAAGGCCCTAAAATACAAAGGGTGTTGAAAGATACAAATCTCAGGCCGGAGGATCGGCCAAACATTCTGTGTCGTGTGTTCAAGATGAAGCTCGATAGTAAGATGACAAAATTAAGAAAGGGTGTATATTCGGACGTATCAGAGCATGTAAGTATTCAATTAGATCTCAATTTATAATTATATATGTACTAAACTCATAGGAATTAGAGATATGGAACATGTGTGAGTTTAAATATTTATTTATTCATAAACTAAATTAATGCATATTGTTTAATATCATTTGTTCACAGTTCCTCCCCAGACGTGCGCACTATTGAATTTCAGAAACGAGGTCTACCGCATGCTCATATTTTGTTGTGGTTGAATAATGATGACAAGCCCAAGACACCAGAAGAAAATTGACATGATAATATGTGCTAAAATTCCTGACGAAGAAACCGACAAAAAGATGTACCAGTTGGTGGAGAAGAATATGTTACATGGACCGTGCGGCCAGGCGGATTTGAAATCTCCCTGTATGAAGGATCGAGTTTGCACGAAGTGATTTCCAAAGCCATTTGTGTAGCGAACTGAGTCAGATGCATATGGTTATACTATGTGCAGGAGAAATGAAGATGGCATAACAATTATGAAGAAAAAGACTACTCTTAACGTAGTTCCGTACAATCGGGTATTGTTGAGTAAGTACAAAGCTCACATTAATATAGAGCTATGAAACCAAAAAAAGTGAATCAAATACCTGTTCAAGTACGTCAACAAGGACCATGATCGAGTTACGACGACATTTTATGAAACACGCAATACAGATGGTGGTGATGAGATTCGTGACTGCAGATACCTTTCGGCATGTGAAGCAATGTGGATGATGTTTAATTTTGATATTCATTACAGAGACCCATTTGTATTTAGGCTAAGATTTCATCTCCCCGATCATCAACCGCTTGTCTTGAATGAAAACCAGTCATTACAAAGTGTTCTGGATAGGCCATCTGCCAAGCAAACGATGTTCTTAGCGTGGCAGAACAGTTATGAAGAAGAAGACTACTCTTGACAATGTGTTTGTAGTTCCGTACAATCGGGTATTGTTGAGTAAATATATATCTCACATTAATATAGACCTATGCAACCAAAAACAGTCAATCAAATACATGTCCAAATACGTCAACAAGGTTCATGATTGAGATACATCAGCATTTTATGAAACAGGCAATACAGATGGCGGTGCTGAGATTCGTGACGAGATAAAGATGTACTACGACTGCCGATATCTGTCGTCATGTGAGGCAATGTGGAGGTTGTTTAATTTTGATATTCATTACAAAGACCCAATTAGGCTAAGCTTTCATCTACCCGATCACCAGCCGCTTGTCTTCAATGAAAACCAGTCATTAGAAAGTGTTCTTAGCGTGGTTTGAGGCGAACAAGAATCATCCACATGCCAGGGACTTGAGGTACAAAGATTTTCCATAGCAGTTTTTGTATAAGGTGGATTCTCGCACTTGGGAGCCAAGAAAAAAAAGATTTTCTATTGGTAGGATTGCGACTGTTCCCCCTGGAAAAGAGGAAGACTATTACCTTAGGTTACTACTAAACATTCAGAGGGGATGCACGTGACACGAAGAGATAAGAAAAGTTGCTGGCTACGTCTACCCTATGTTCAGGGTTGCGTGTTATGTGTTGGGTTTGTTAGACGACGACAACGAATACATAGATGCGATAAGAGAAGTGAATGCTTGGGCATCTGGGGATTATATAAGGAGGTTATTTGTGGTTATTATGCTTTCCAATAGCTTAAGTTGGCCCGAACATGTTTGGCAAAGTTGTTGGTCGGATTTGGCGGTGGGTATTGTTTATAAACAACAATGGCTTTATAATAATCCACGCATGGCAATTTGTATAGAACATTATTCAGTTAGATTTTAAAAATTACTCAATTTTTTAATATTTTCCCTTTAAGTTTTGAACTAAATGCACATAATGTATCAATGTTTTGTGCAAATTTATCTATATTAGATGAAAGCTTGATGAACTATACTCTCACTGATATAGAGAAAATATTGCAGCAAAGTAATGGTAAAAATCTACGTAATTACACCCCCATGCCAGTTCTAATCGAATTCGCGATGGAGGACACAGTAATCATATTGGTCTGAGATGAACTTGATTACGATCGGTTTGAAATGGGTAAAGAACTTCAACGGTGTCTTGCCTCAATTATAGAAGAGCAAAGAAAGGTTTATGATGTAGTCATGGATGATGTATCTAATGACCGTGGTGGAATATTCTTTCTACATGGTCATGGTGGAACGGGAAAGACGTTTCTCTGGAAAATTCTTTCGGGTGTAGTCCGTTCCGAGGGAGAGATTGTAATTAATGTTGCATCGAGTGGTATAGCATCACTATTTCTCCCCGGCGGAAGAACAACTCATTCTCGATTTGGACTACCCATAAATGTACACGAGACGTCCATCTGCAGCATTACACAACAAAGTCCACATGCAGAGTTGCTGATTAAGGCTAAGCTTATTATATGGGACAAGGCTGCTATGATGCATATCGACTGTTTTGAAGCGCTTGAAAAGACAATGAAGTCAATATTACATGTAGAAAAATTGTTTGGTGTTGGTAAGGTGGTTGTTCCTGGAGGAGATTTGAGGCAAATTTTATCAGTTGTATTCAAAGCATCAAGGCAGGACATAGTACATGCTACGGTAAACTCCTCTTCGTTGTGAAATTTCCGTCGTGTCATGAAATTGAGTAAGAACATGAGATTGCAGTCATGTTCTTCTCCATCTAACGCGGACGAGGTAAGAGAATTTGTAGACTGGATACTGAAGATTGGTAATGGGGATGTTGGGGAACAAAATGATGGTGAAGCTTCGCTATAGATTCCCGCCGACATGCTGATTGGTGATTCAGAAGATGCATTCAGAGACCTACTAAACTTCGTTTATCCAGATTTGTTGAGTAACATATATGACCCAACTTATTTTCAAGGGAGGGCAATTCTTGCACCAACTAATGAATGCGTCGAGTCTGTGAACGATCACCTAATGTCTCTCCTTTTAGGTGAGGAGAAGTTGTACCTGAGCTCAGATAGTATGTGTAGGGACGACCAAACAACGGAGGATAATGTGGAATCTATTCGACTGAATTCCTCAACACAATAAGATGCTGGGGAGTTCCTTCTCACGTATTGAAGTTCAAGGTCGGTGCACCAGTTATGCTAATAAGAAACATCAATCAAGTTACATGATTGTGCAACGGGACCATACTTCAAATTATTGGAACCGGCATTCACGTTCTGAATTGAAAAATTCTTTCCGGTAAAAATATCGGTGACATGGTGTTCACTCTTCGGATGACTTTAATACCATCTAACTCCGGACTGCCAATTAAATTTCAGAGAAGACAGTTTCCGTGGATTGTTTCTTTTTGCAATGACGATCAATAAAAGCCAAGGCCAAACTCTTTCACATGCTAGTTTGTATCTTCTTAGGCCTGTCTTCAGCCATGGTCAACTATATGTTGCCCTGTCCAGAGTTAAGAGCATAGGTGGCATTAAGATATTCATCAAGTCGGATTCGGGTGAACTCACCAATGTGACTAGAAATGTCGTGTACAAGGAAGTATTTCATCGAATTTCAAGGTAGAAAATGTTTTCATATTTATCAGTTCTTCATGTAACATGTCTTACTTTTTTTTAACACCTTATTCTTTGGCAGGTCTATCTTCCTTATTTGTTTTCCCTCGTGCGATGTTTTTTTTTTCAGTCATGTCCCTATGATGCTCAGTACAAACCTTATTATCTTTAATAGGTTTATGTTTGTCGATATACTGATATTTAATATTATTCTTATATTGTAACTATGAAGAAAATGATACTAATAACATATTTGTAATATTGTTGGTCGATGACGTTTTGTACTTAAATTCAATGAGCGTGACAATTGATATCTGCGTAAATTTGTATTACAGACATGTATTTTCAAGATTATCCGTAAATTTAAATACATGATAGTAATATCAATATATTATGCTTTTTAAATAGGGGTTTTTGTGCATAGGTCCCTAACCAAGCATCTTTATTATTCTACGTTTAGGGGCTATATTTCTTTCACCAATAAGCCCATTCCTTCAATACTTATTATAAATAAAGGAAACATTCATGTATATGACAAAATTACCCCCAACCCTTTATACCCAATTCTTAATTGTAACCACAATTTAATCAATTTTGTCACAAAAATCCAATTTGAATTTTTTTTTCCGCTGGATTCCGGCGTTGACTTTTCGATTTGTTTTTTTTTTCCTGGTCTGTCTTTTCCGCCGCCGGATTTCGGCGTTGACTTTTTCTATTGTTTTTTTTTTCTTTTTTTACGTCCGTCGCTAAACGTTGACTGTGATTGTGCTGTCACCGACAGTACATCAACGTAATTATACTGTCAATGACAGTACATTAACGTAATTGTACTGCCGTTGACAATACATTTATGTAATTGTTCTGCCGTTGACAGTAAATTAACGTAATATTATTATTATTATTTTGTTATTTCTATTTAATTTCGTATGAGTTGTTGACAAGTCAATGTAATTATAGTACTGCCAACCAAATCAATAGTATTATTTTTTTGGGTTTTTTTTTTTGTTTGAGTTATTCACGGAGTAACGTAATAATATTACTGTCTATTATTGTAATATTACAGTAAACACAATAATATTAGTGTGGTTGATGGTAATATTATTGTTGTTATAGTAATACTGCTGTCAACCACATCTATATTATTATTTTTTTTGGGCTTTTTAGTTAGTTTGAGTTATTCACGGAGTAACGTGACAATATTAATGTCTATTATTGTAATATTACCGTGGTTGACGGTATTATTACTGTTGTTATAGTAATATTACCGTCACTCACAGTAATATTAATTCTTTTGACTTTTTATTATGTTTACATTTGTTGAACGGTCAATATAGTAAGATTACACTATTACACAATAATAATGAGTTTTGTTGTGTTAATATTATTGTGCTAGAGATTAATATAGCAATATTACTGTGTTAAATTGTAGTATAGTTAATTTTACTGTGTTTAACAGTAATATAGTTAATATTACTGTCAATCACAACAATATTGCTGTTTAAACGGAAAAAAGATGTTATAGAAAGAAAGAAAGAAAAAAAGAAAGAAAGAAAGAAAGAAACATCGAAAAAGTCAACGGCGGAGATCCGCGTTGACCGCCGGTCAACGCCGGAAACCGGTAAAAAAATCAGGAAGAAGAAGAAAAAAAAATTCAACGCCGAAGACCGGCGGTCAACGGCGGTGACGGACGAAATTGTCCATAAAAATGTGTTTTGGGTCAAAATTGAATAATTTGTAAAATTTGGGGTGAAATTTAGATTAAAGTAAATTAAAGTATGAAATTGGAGCATATTAAAGTATGAGGAGCTATTTTAGTGTTTTACAAAAATTTGGACCATGTGTGAACTTTTTTGTAAATGAGTTTATTGTCTAGATCTCTTTATGAATAAGTAGCCATTGATGGGGTTATTTGCAAAGACTCCTTTTAAATATTCGGATTTCAAATTTTGTATATGTTGATTTTTCTAAATTTTCACTTCCAAAATATTCTTCAAATTTACATAATTGATTTTGATTTGTTACAATTTTAATATGATTTGTCGTAATTCATCGGTTTTTCTACCATTTGCATAACTACCATATATAATATTATCATTGTATCCAAAATTGACTAATCAACTAAACATAATTTATTTTTTTCAATATTTTTTAACTGTCCTAAATTGGTGAATTAATTATTAAATAGCGTAAAAAAACAGTTTGCCCCCTAAATTAAAGTCCGTTTTGCACTTTGCCCCCAAACAAAAAAAATTGCACGTTTTTACCTGAACTTGTTAATTCATTGCACGGTGCCTCCTAAAAGGAATATTCCGACAATTTTGACCGAAATATGACAACATGTGTACTGCACATGAGATTTGCAGGGGCAAATTGGTCCCTTCACTTACATTTTATATTTTAATATTTAAAACAAAATAATAATAATAAATAAATAAAAAAAAAAGAAAAAAAATGAGTTCTCATCCACTCATCCCGTAGACCACCATGGCACCACCATTGAAGAAGTCTTGCAGCAGCTGCTGGACTTTTGGGATTCAGGTGGAGCCGCCGACGAGAACCACCTCGTGCACCGTAGATTTATCGATTTTCACGTCTCGTAAGCACTTTTCGACGGGCTCCATACACCTTATGAACATGTCCATACAAATATCTTCGAATCTTTGGTTATGGTGGCGTAGAAATCGATCCCTTCGAATAACAAATTCACTATAATTTTTAACGGTGTGAAGTTTTTGAACATGGACTGTTAAAATTAGGGGGGGTTATGTAGTTTTTGATACTATAGGGGGGTGAATGCGACATTTTCCTTAGTACAGGGGTACAAAGTGTAGTTTACCCATTATTTTATTTTACCACTTCTATGTGCAAATCTATGAAATTAGGACTTAGAATAATTCTTGCATGATTAGTAATTACGTGAAAATTAGGTGATTATGTGAAATATATGATTATGTGAATTATGTGATTACGTGATTATGTGAATTATGTGATTACGTGAATTATGTGCTTAGGAAATATTTTGAGATATTATGTCGAAATAAAATATTTTTCATGAACTAAGATTTTATTCTTGCATATGAATTTAAGTGAAGATTTTAACATATTTATGCATGCACAAAATTATAGAAAATAATTTTTTCTCATGTATTTTAGGATTATTAATTAGTGGAGCAAATTAGAAAATCATCCCCTCATTTTTCTTCAATTTCCGGCCACTAATACTCACACACATGATTTAAAGAATTAATGTTAATTAGGAATAGACATGCATTAGAATGCTTGTACTTTAAGCATTAAAATAAATATATAAGCCTAGTCTCCCTACTCACTATCTAGGCATGCATTTTACCACTCCCACACTCCACTTTAGCAAGACCAAATGTCACTTTTTTTCTTCCTCTCTCCCCTTCATTTCGGCAGCCCCAAACCACCACCATAGCCACCACCTTCTCAAGCTTAAGCCACCCAAGAACCACCACCACTCCTCTTCCAAAATATTGCAAAATCACCCCCACAAAAAGATTTATTTCCCTTTTTTCTCCATTGGCTTTGAACTCTCCAAAAACTCTATAAACACATCCAATGTCCAAGATAGTAATACACTCTCAAACTCCAATCTCACTATCTATAAGTTTAAAGTCTCTTTCTATTTCAGTAGGAGGAGAATTTTCAGCCAAGACTAAGTAAGTCCTTCTTCCTCTTCTTTCTTCATTTTCTTTCGAAAGAAGCTAATCTCTTCTTCATCTAAGTTCTTCTTGTTCTTCTTGTTCTTCTTCTTCCTTTCTTAAGGTATAATCTAACTCTTGATCTCTTCTTGTATTAGAGAGAAAAGAGCTAACAAATCCTTCCCCTAAAGAGTAGAGGTGAGAAATTCCTGAATTCTTACTCAAACATGCAACACCACTAGTATTTTCGGTTTTCATTGATTTATTTGTTGATTCTTGCATATTATATGATTATATTGCTTAGATGATGATTGAATGTTAGTATTTTGAAAAGATAAGTTTGTTCTTGATGTTTATGTTTTTTTTCAAAATTTGGGGAAAATTGCTTAAATTGCTTATTTGGCTTAATTAGTAGCTTACATGTGTTTATCTACTGTTTGATTGTTGATTTTTGAAAATAAAATGAATTTGTGGCCTAGCTATGAAACTTTCGAATTTTTGGGTAAAAATGCTTAAATTGCTTCTTTGGTTTATTTGTTATCTTGCATGTGTTAATCTAGTTTTTGATTGTCGATTTAAGGCCTTGTATGTTATGATCTAGTGTTTCTATGAAGATTGATGAAAAGATTAAGAATTTTTACTAAACTTGATTTAAAATACTCTTGCATGTTAAGATCTAGTGGAATTACTTGAATAAACATAAACATCAAGAACAAACTTGATTTAAAATACTCTTGCATCGGAGAAGAAGAAGTCATCCAATTCCTATGGAGGAATATTGTGTGTCGCTTTGGGATCCCACGTTCCATTATTTCAGATAATGGAACCCAATTTTGTGGCGACAAAGTGAAGAATTGGTGTCTCGGCTTGGACATCAAACAGCTCTTCACATCCGTAGCCAATCCACAAGCTAACGGCCAGACGGAGGTCACGAATCGAGCCATACTCCAACACCTTAAAACAAGGCTTGAAAGTGCCAAAGGGAAGTGGGTGGAAGAATTGCCTAGCGCCCTATAGGCTTATCGAGCAACCCCACGAGCAGCAACCGGAGGGTCGCCTTTTAATCTGGCTTTCGGCAGAGAGGCTATCGCACTCGTTGAAATCGGCAAACCATCTTGGCAAATCACCAACTATGATCCCGCAGCTGATGAAGAAGCTATGGAGGGGAGCCTCGACCTCGTAGACGAGCTACGAGAGATTGCATGCATCCGACAACAGATGTACAAAACACAAATGGTCAAAGCATATATTTCAAAGGTCCGCCCTCGATCCTTCCAAGTGGGAGATTTAGTCCTCCGAAAAGCTCAAGCCTCGTGCCCCATTGGTAAGCTCGACCCAAAATAGGAAGGACCATACAAAGTCCCTCAAGTGGTCAACACTGGAGCGTATCGTCTCGAGAACCTTGACGAACACCTTATACCCCGAACGTGGAACATAGGGAACCTCAAAAGGTTCTATGCTTGAGGTATACACCCGTCTTACTTCAAATTTGTTTAAATTAGCATCCATATCTCCTCATACAAAAGTTGCTTACAAACACCTACCCCCGCAGGATTCGCGACCTTCCACGTCACTCGTCTTTAAAAAATGTCTCTAAGCGCCTAAGAAGTTCCTACTCCATAAAGAGGTGCGTAAACGTCCCACCCGAATTGGGGGGCTATTACTATTACCTACATCAACATTCCATAACCACCCTTCATCACCTTCTTATAGGTGGAGAATCAATTACGAGGGGATGCCTACCAACCATCACTTGCCCAAGGAGAGAAGATACTCTGCACTATCTCACCAAGGGTAACACCACTTCTACTACATGATATACACGCATGTTCTTGTATATTTATACCAACCTAATAATGCCGTCCGATCTAACAGGCATGATCACGCAATAAATCACAGCGATCACGAGTTGATTTTATATCTCGGAGGGCGAGAAAGAGAAACAATCCGCTGAGTGGGTACGTGACGTTATAATACACATCATCCCAACTTATGCAATTACTAAGTCTTCAGTACAAGTGTTTAAAATTTTTCTACCATATTTTTCAGGTATAGAGACGCCAAAGGAAATCAACATACCACCAGCACAACAAACACGGACGAGTACAAGGAAGACGTGGAAGAAGAATAAATTTTTATAGTCAAGTAGAATAGTTTTTATTATTTCCACTCATCTGCTTTTTGCAAATTTATTTCCCTTTCGCCTCACGTAGGATTGTGAAAATTCTCACCTTCTACCATTGAAAAAATCAAGTTTTTTTCTTTATTCTCGAGCTTATTATCTCTATACTATGTAACCGTTACAACGAGTTCATAAAAATACAACCCTACAAACAGTTACAGAAATTAAGATAATCTATATAGCCTAGCCAGCTGGATTATCTGAGTCTCTCTATTTGTTTTAATGGGTCCTACTTTTAAAATGTGGCCACGGACCTAACATCCTTAAGACCCACGCGGTCCGAATAAAGGGCACGACCCTTAACAAAAACCTTGGGAGACTGATCCCCTCCTCAAGTACATCGCGTATAATGCTAAACGTAAATACATATAAGCAACGCATAAAGGGTTCAGCCTCCACCCATTTGGTGAAGTAATCCACGGCTACAATGAGGAACTTGCGCCCTCCCGTGGCGGGTGGGAATGGTCCGACTAAGTCCATTCCCCATTAGGCGAAAGGGATGAGGCTGTCAATCGGTTGCATTAATGCCGCTGGTAGGTGAGGGATGTTGGCATGCTCTTGGCAGGGATTACACCTCTGGACTAATTTCTTTGCGTCTTCATGCATCGTTGGCCAGTAGTAGCCTTGTCTCAATAGTTTGAGAGCCAATGTTCTACCACTCAAATTATTGCCACATATGCCTTCTTGTACTTCTCAAAGCACGTAATTTTCTGTTGTTGGGTCGAGGCACTTGAGATAGGGGAATGAGAATCCTTGTTTGTAGAAGTTATTTTCCCACTATTACAAAGCGAGCGGCTCTTGTATTTAACTTCCGTGCTTCGGTGATGTCACTTGAAAGTTCTCCCTCCTTGAGATACTTTATGATTGGAGTGAACCAACACGGTTCGTCCTCGTCATTGTAATGCACTTCATCGGTTGAAGTTATCTCCGGTTGAGGCGAGGTGATGAGAGTACCTTTCCAACTCCCAATGCTTGCCATGGAGCTTCCAAGCCTAGCTAATTTGTCCCCATGGATGTTACTGGAGCGAGGCACTTGTTTTATTCCGTAGCTCTCGAACTTAGATAATAGAGTGTGCGTCAGAGCTAAGTATTTGGCCATGGAGTAATCTTTGGCCTCGTAGGTTTCGAGTACTTGGTTAACGACGAGGTGAGAGTCGCTTTGTACTAGGAGCTTACGCGCTCCAGCTGCTAGGGCGAGGAGAATTCCAGCAATCAAGGCTTCATATTCAGCCACATTGTTAGAGGCTGTGAATTCGAATCGTTGAGCATATTCGAATTCATCTCCGTTGGGGTTCGTTAATACGATACCCGTGCCACCTCCTGTGGCTGTGGAAGATCCATCAACGTTAACGGACCAAGCGGGGAGGGAGTTTCTCTCTTCTACTGAGTTCATTTCTACTAAAAAGTCGGCCAATACTTGCGCCTTGATGGCGGGGCGGTTCTTGAATTCTACCCCGTATTCACTCAGCTCTATTACCAATTTGGCTAACTGCCTGGATGTCTCGGGACTCCTTAATATCTGCTTCAGGGGGTAATTGGTGAGAACCACCACTTGATGTGATCGGAAGTAGGGTCGGAGTTTTCGAGCCGCGTTGATGAGGGTGAGGGCGAGTTTCTCCATGTTGGTATAGCATTGTTCGACTCCTTGGAGGGCGCGACTTATGTAGTATATAGGCTGGTGGCCTTTTTCTCCATTTCGGATGAGGACTGCGCTGATGGCATCAACTGAAGTCGCTAAGTATAGGAGGAGGGTGTCTCCGGGCTGAGGTTTCGTAAGCAATGGTGGAGACGCAAGATATGACTTCAGCTCGACGAAAGCTTTTTGACAAGCTTCATCCCATTCAAACTTTTTTCCTCTCCTTAAATTCTAGAAGAAGGGGAGAGCCCTGTCTGCCGATCTTGAAATGAATCAGTTCAAAGACGCCATGCAGCCGCTAAGCTGTTGGACTTTCTTGATTGATGTTGGTGGAGCCATGGATGTGATGGCTTCGATTTTCGTGCGATTAGCTTCGATTCCTCGATGTGAAAATATATCCCAAAAATTTACCTCCCCGAACTCCGAACGAACATTTGAGGGGGTTGAGTTTCATCTTGTATTTTCGCAGGATGGCGAACCACTGATCTAAATCGGCTAAGTGGTCTGAGACCTTGACACTTTTGACGAGCATGTGGTCGATGTACACCTCCATATTCTTGCCGATTTGGTTTGCGAACATTGCAGTCACAAGACGTTGGTAAGTAGCCCCCGCATTTTTTAGTCCGAAAGGCATGACTTGGTAGCAGTAGATGCCTTGATCTGTGACGAAGCTGGCCCTCTCTTGATCTTCTGGGACGAGCAAGATTTGATTGTATCCTTGATACGCGTCAAGGAAGTTGAGGAGCTCACATCCCAAGGTCGAATCGATGAGTTGGTCGATTCTAGCAAGGGAAAGGGTTCATTCGGGCAAGCTCTATTGAGGTCAGTGAAGTCCACGCACAATCTCCACTTGCCCCCGGCATGACTTGGTAGCAGTAGATGGCTTGATCTGTGACGAAGCTGGCCCTCTATTGATCTTCTGGGGCGAGCAAGATTTGATTGTATCCTTGATACGCATCAAGGAAGCTGAGGAGCTCGCATCCCGAGGTCGAATAGATGAGTTGGTCGATTCTAGGCAAAGGAACTGGGTCCTTCGGGCAAGCTCTATTGATGTCAGTGAAGTCCACGCACAATCTCCACTTGCCCCCGGGCATGGGAACAAGTACTACGTTCGACAACCATTCAGGATACTGAACTGGTCGTATATGGCCTGCCTCTAAAAGTTTTTCCTCTTCCTCTTTGATGTGTTTGTTGCGTTCGGGACCGAATGTCCGCTTCTTTTATTTGATCAGCTTCAACCTTTTGTCGGCGTTGAGCCGATGTAGAGCCTTCTGAGGGGGAATGCCCGACAAGTTTTGGGCCTTCCAAGCGAGCACGTCTCCATTGTGCTGTAGGAAGTTGATTAGTTGTTGTTCCATCTCTGGATCTAGATTGGATCCGATGCTTAGGAGCTTGGAACCATCTCCAGATGTGAGCTCTATGAGCTCAAGCTCTTCGACGGCCGCTAGCTTAATGCCATCGTCTGGTACGCTGATGAGGATTTCTCTATCGTCCTCGATGATTGCGTTGACCCATTTCCGTTTGTCGGGTTTTTGGGTGTCATCTCCCCTTCCGGACGGTTTGTGCTTCTTGGATGGTTCTTGTAGGGCTCTCGCATAGCACTCTCGAGCGAGACGTCTATCTCCAAGTACCTCCCCCATTCCATAAGGAGTGGGGAATTTCCACTTTTGCTGGTAGGGTGAAGACACTGACTTGAATGTATGGGTTGCTGGCCTCCCTAGGATGATGTTATAGGGAGACGGATTGTCGACGATAAGGAATTTTATCATCCTGGTAATTCAACAAGGGCTCTCCCCTAAGGAGATGGGCAACTCCACTTCTCCTACTGATAAAACGCCCTCCCAGTGAATTATTTTAGCGGTGTAGTGATGGGGCTGAATCGGGCGTTATCTATGCCCTGCTGCTTGAATGTATGGAGATACATGATGTCTGCTGAGCTTCTTCCACCATCCACTAAAATTTTCTTAACCAAAAAGTTGGCCACTGATGTTGTGACTACCAACGCGTCGACATGGTCTTCGAGGTCCGAGGAGTCGAAGACTATGATATGATTAGGTCTTCGTATCGGATAGGTAGATGCGGATGGAGAAGCGTGCTCTTGATTCATACGTGCTGACCGAGTGAGGGTGCGTCTCGCATTTTGTGAGTCGCCACCCGCCGGTCCTTCGGAGATAAAAGAAATGACTCCCCGGGTGGGTTGGTTATCATTGTTATCTGGTTCGCGTCGATGACTGCCCTCCTTTCGTCGTGACGGTTGATCTCGATTGTTATCTCGGCGTGGGAGGTCATCACGGCGCTTATTTCGAGGCTTATCAATGTATTCACCTAAGTGGCCCTGCTTGATCATCCTCTCAATTTCCAATTTGAGTTGTGCACATTCCTCGGTAGTATGTCCTTTATTCTTATGGAATCGACAGTAGCCATCCGATTTTTCTCGTTTCACATTGGGCTGCATTGGGCTTAGAGACTCTGCCAGGCCTCTTTGCTCTATCACATGAAGGATTTCAGTGAGGCGAGTGTTCAGCGGAGTGAATCGATTGTAGGAGGAAGATGATTGGCCTTGAGGTGGGGGTGGTGGACGTCGATCATCCCGTCTCCTAACGTCCTATCGGTCATCTTCCGTCTTCCTCTTGGGAGGAGCATGGGTAGAGGCTTCCTCTATTCTTACGTATTTCTCAGCTCAGTTCAGCAATTCATCTAGGTTGCATGGAGGCCTTCTAGCAATAGATTCTTTGAACCTACCCGACTTTAAGTTTTATTGCATGATCCCGGAGAGGATGTCTTTTCCAACACTTGGGACTTCGTGGACAGCTTCCACAAAACTCTTGATGGAGTTGAGGAGTGGTTCGTTGTCTCTCTGTACTACAGAGGAAAGGTTTGTTGGGGTTTTGGCATAATTTTTGGTGATGGCGAATTGGTTGGTGAAGCGTTGCGACAATCGAGCGAAGGTGTCGATCAATCCTGTAGGTAGAGAGTTGACCCAATTCATGGCTCGCTTGGAGAGACTAGTGCGGAACATTTTGCACATTGCTGCATCTGTTGGGCCATATAAATCTGCCATGGCGTGGAATTTCTCTATGTGTTCTTGACGGTCAGTGGTTCCTTCAAACTGAGGTATCCCTGAGATTTTCACTCCTTGAGGTAATACCTCGTTGGGGATGTCCATGGTGAAAGGACTGCGTCTTACTGGGGCAGGCATTCTTCCATCAATTGGATTGTTTAATTGGGGGAAGGAAATTTGGCGAGACATTCTACTGTTTACCTCACCTTCTCCCTCATTAAAGAGAGGGACACTCTGTGGAGACGCATTATCCCGTGGGGGTGAGAGTTGACGTTGATGTCTGATTGTGCCCCCCTGTGATTAGTGGATAGTTGCACTCGGGACCGTGGGTCCGAGGTGGATGAGGAGACACTTATGCGGTTCTGGACTGGCGGTGGTGCCATGGGCGGCACCACAGGTGGAGCAGGTGCGAGTATCGCGTTGGAAGCATTTTCTCCCATCGTGGCGATGTATTGGGTCACAGCCTCTGTGGCGGCGCGAGTTGAGGCTTCTGCTATCATGCGTTGGAACGCATCCTCGTTTATCTGAACCGTTCGGGGATGAGGGAGTGGCGGATCGGCGAGGGGTGGATCCCGAGAGGGATTCACTTGGACATCGCGACGGGGATCCGGAGCACGTGTAGGAGGTTGCAAGCCAGAGCCTACGCGGATCGGGAGGTTGTTAGCTGTGTCATTCTCTCTCCGAGCGGATGACTCGGGAGGATCTTGCTGGCTACGTGATCAGGTTTGCATGTTCCCAGAGGCGGCGGCAAAATGATGATGTTAATTACTTAGATCACCTGGGGTAATGTGGTAAATGAGCTAGGAGAGCAAAGCGGATCAGTAGCTTGCTAATTTGATGATCCTGAGGTCCCTGCAAAATGAACACACGTGAACTAAGCTGGGGGTTGATCCGACGGAAACCCTTTCGACGCTCAAGTCACATGTATGGATCGTGGAGATGGTAGAGAGAATAAGCACTCTAGATTACTTGTGAATAATAGAACGTACCTTAACAAATGAATAAAAACTTCTATTTATATGTCGTTGATTGGGTTGGGTTTACTTTGATGGACCAAAGCCTTATTTTGAAGGTGTTTGGGCTTTCGTGTATTGAGTCCAATAATAAGATAAATTGTGGGTCCATTGGATCGATCCGATTAGGTATATCAAAACCCTAATGTTTAGATATCCACCCAAAAATATCAAAAAATGAGTTAGTGTTGTGAAATATATATTAGAAGATGTATTAAATATTTTATTACAAACAGTAATGGTGTAAATATTATTAAATAATCAATATTAACTAGTTTTTAATCTTTAATATGGAACTAATATATATATATATATATATATATATATATATATATATATATATATATATATATATATATATATATATATATATGGTAAATAGTACTTAATCCCCTTGTGGTTTCACTATTTGACACTTAGGCCCCTTGTGGTTTACAAGGGGTAGCTTCCATTAGTGTCACTAACAGAAAAGGTGAAATTTTTATTGTACCCTTCCATTTTTCTATTATTTACATTCACACCAAAAATGTTATTACATAATGTAACAGTTCGTTCTTCAAGAAAAAAAAGGAATGTAGAAAGAAATGTGCAGGCTTTTTCTTTTGTGACAAAATAGAAAAACTGCTCCTTTTGAATTATTGATTTTAGTTTCAAATTTTGGATTGTATTTAGTACATTTGTGTTGCCGTAATTCTTGAGTGGAGAAATAAATCTATATTTTTTCTTGGACAAGTATTTTAATTAAAGTGATGTAGGCGACTTCAATTTTAAAAAGTGAAATAATATATGAATTTGTTTGTATTTTTAGTGCTACATATTATTCTATATTGTATTTTTAGTGGTCCACCAACCTTTTATTTTTACAATATTATATTTAGGGGTCATTGCAAATAAGCCCATCAATGGGTACTTATTCGTAAAGAGATCCCGATAAAAAACTCATTTACCAATAAGTCCACACATGGTCCAGATTTTTGTAAAGGACTAAAATAACTCCTCATACTTTAATATGCTCCAAGTTCATCATTAAGTTTATTTAACCTCAATTTGACCCTGCAAATTATTCAATTTTGACCCAAATTAATATTACCCTAAATTTTTTGACCCTAAAAAAAAAAAAAATCGCCGGATTCCGGCGTCGACTGGCGGTCAACGCCGGTCTCTGGTGTTGACTTTTCAAATTTTTTTTTTCTGGATTTTTTCGCCTGTTTCCGGCGGTCAACGCTGGTCTCCGGCGTTAACTTTTTCAATTTTTTTTTCTTCTTTTCTTTCTTTTCTTTCTTTCTGTAACTTTTTTTCTTCCGTTTAAACAACAATACTGCTGTGATTGACATTATTATTAACTATATTACTGTTAAACACAGTACAATTAACTAAACTACAGTTTAACACAGTAATATTGCTATATTAATCTTTAGCACAATAATATTAACACAAGAAAACTCATTATCATTGTGTAATAGAGTACTATTACTATGTTGACCGTTCAACAAATGTAAACATAATAAAAAATCAAAAGAATTAATATTACTGTGAGTGATAGTAATATTACTCTAAAACAGTAATTACCGTCAACCACAGTAATATTACAATAATAGGCAATAATATCATTACGTTACTCCGTGAATAACTCAAACAAACAAAAAATCCAAACAAAATAATAATATTGATGTGGTTGACAACAATATTACTATAACAACAGTAATATTACTGTGTTTACAGTAATATTACAATAATATACAGTAATATTATTACGTTACTCCGTGAATAACTCAAACAAAACGAAAAACCCAAAAAAATAATAATATTGATGTTGTTGACAGTAATATTATTGTGTTTACAGTTATTTTACTGTCAACGACAGTAATATAATTACGTTGACTTGTCAACAAATGAAACAAAAAAAAAACAAAATATATATATATATATATTTATATATATATATATATATATATATATATATAATAATATTACATCAATTTATTGTCAACGGCAGCACAAGTACATAAATGTATTGTCAATCAGTACAATTACGTTAATTAACTGTCATTGACAGTATAATTACGTTAATTTACTGTTAGTGACAACACAATTACGGTCAACGTTTAGCGGCGGACATAAAAAAAAAAAAGCAAACCAAAAAAAAAAAAAAAAACTTAGAAAAACACTAAAAAAAGTCAACGCCAGAGACCGCCGGAAACCGGCGAAAAAATCCGGAAGAAAAGAAAAGAAAAAAGAAAAAAGCAAAAAACAAAAAAAAAAGTCATCGCCGGAGACCAGCGTTAACGCCAGTCAACGCCGGAAACCGGCGAAAAAATCCTAAAGAAAAAAACCAAAAAAAAAAAAACAAAAAAAAAATTTGAAAAGTCAACGCCGGAACCGGCGGGAAAAAAACAATTTGGGTCAAAATATAATAATTTGTGAAATTTGGGGTCAAATTGAGATTAAATAAAGTTAATGATGTATTTTATTAAAAAAAATTGAAAAAAAAAGTCAAAATTGAATTTTTGTGGTCAAAATTAAATTTTGTGGATAAAATTGATTAAATTGGGGTTACACTTAAGAATTGGGTATAAATGATTTAGGGTAATATTGTCATATACATGAATGTTTCCTTTATTTATAATAAATATTAAAGGGTTGGGCTTATTTGTGAATGAGATATATCCTCTAAACCTTGAATTATAAAGATGCT